GACACCCACGCGGGCAGTCCTCGCGCGTCCATAAAACCGATATCGCGACCTCGAGGCTGCAATTGATCGCTTCATCATCGAAATTATCATGAAATTATCAAATCGGGAGCAAACCGACCAACCGCTCTCGCTTTCGTAGAAAATACGATGGTATCTGATTTTATCTGAATTGGAATTAGAGATCTCTAAAATCAAAGAGAGAGAGAGAGAGAGAATAATGTAAAAAAAAAGGTATGTAAAAAAAATAATTTTTGAAAACGTTCTAAATTATTTTTCATCGTAAGTATCTATGAAAATTTATATTCTTTCGTGCATATCGATTTTAATTAATAAAATCGTATATCATTAAATTATACACCACGTATAATTTAAATTTAGATTCAATTCAATATCGAGGATTTGAAAAATACTTTTCCTTTCTTTTTTTTCTTAAATTACAGACCTTAAATAAGATCTTTAATACAAGTATTCAAGTATAAAGTATCAACGAATTAACGAGAGAAAAATATTCACCCTTTCAAATTATTTATCCCTAAAGCAACAGCTTTTCTCTCGTTTCTTTAGAATTTCACGCGTTATTTCATTACTTCATTATTTCAGAAGTGGAAAAATCAAATTCTCTCCTCCCTCTCCTCCCTTCTCCTCCCCGTCAGAAAAAGGAAAAATGGATCACACTTAAGAATTCATTCGACATCGCGATCATCCTCTCCATTAAAGTGAAATACCGCGAAGCCAAGAGATTGTAAATAAGTAAGTAAGTAAGTGAGCGAGCGAGCGACGGAATTTTTTTTGCGGGGCCGCAAGCTGCATCAAGATATCTTGGAAGCCGCAGACACGATAATCGCCATCCGTGACCTTACCGTGGTACGTTTAACCTATGCTAAGGGCGCTTTTTCATCGTCGACTACTCAGCGTGTTTGAAGATGACGCCTCGAGTGGAAGGATGATACCATTCTTCATATTTAAGAGGATCAGGTTGCTTATGATTGCTTAAGATCTGCCCTCTTGCCTCGCTTGTCCAATTTTTTCCAGCCGAGATATACATTGGGGGGGAAAGGGGGAAGATAGACACTTTAATTTGTTTGAGAATTTGCAATGTTGCAACGTAATCGATTTGAAGATGTTTTTAGAAATGTTCGATTTGTGAGTCGAGTGTCTCTTTGATCACTTGGGTGATTACGATTCTAAGTTCCAGGGATTTTGTGATCGTTGGATTTATTAAATTCGATGAAAAAGTTAAACGATATAATGATCGTCGAAATCGAATGAATGGAACAAAATTTGAATTGAATTGAATGGATTCAAAATGGTTAAATCCAATTTTCACTTCAATGTTAAAATTTCCACGTTATAAAATATTTATATTTAATCTTCGTTTTATCTATCTCGAGTTTATCATTTGAAATATTTCGTTTGATTTTTCGAAATATCGTGTTTTGGATATATATAATTTAAGTAGCAAAAAAGAGATCGATTTTTCTGAATGCATTAAAACAAAACTTTGTTATGGAACACGCGATATGGATGTTTAAAATGTATCAAACTTTTTCGTTTGTGTTGGGTAAGCAAATTCGCGACAATTCTTGATTCAACCTTTTACCTCTGGCTATTCGATCAAAAGTCCATTTACTTTCCATTTAAATTTGCCGCGTTATCCACTGCTCTTTGAAAAAAACCTATGCGATTTAAGCTCGAACCTCTCTCGCCCATTCTTCGTTACAAATTTTTGAATTTTAAAGAAAAATCCAATTAAAAGTACGTTTCTCGTAAAAATTGTTAAATGCAATTTAAGCAACTTTATCATCTTTTTTAAAAATTTCCCTAAACCTAACCTAACTTTATTCTCCAAATTTTGGGACACGAGAAAAGGAAAAAGAAGAATATTGAGATATTAACGATATTCGTAACGCGAAATTTTCGTGGAAAAATTTGCGAAATTAAACGAAGTCGAAAGTAAAGTTTTAGGAGAATGATCGATCACGTGGAGAGGTTAGAACACAGCTGGACAGTCATTAAGCAACGTCGTCGCCCTTAATGCCGACGGAGACACTTAAAAAGTAATTTACCGGTTGCACTCGTGAAAAAGGAAACGCGACGTCGGCTGGAAGTCGCGATTCTCAACGTTAATTGGAAACACCGGAACGTCAGCGAGTATCGGGACAGCTGGCAGAGGAGAAAAAAGGATCTTTTTGGTCGGAGAAAGATCAAAGGATCGCGAACTTTCTAGCGGTTTCTTTTCGCGTATTGATTAGCGATGAAAAACAAAATTTTTCTTTTTTATATTTTATTTAATTGCATAGATTCACTATTTATTTTTTTCAATTAAATAATCGTTGAAAATATATCGATAGAAAATTAAGATTTTCGATTATTCGAAAGTGACTTAAATAAGAAATATATAATTCACAAAATTATTATTAAAGTTTCTAAATATTAAGGAGTATCGAATATACATTAATTTCCCGATCTTCAAAGGTTATATTTTTAACAAATTTAGTTAAAAACTTAATTTATATTTTTCAAAATGTATTATTTAAAAATAAACGAGTACGAAGAATTTAATTCGAGTTCACGACACAAGCTTCAAAAGGTAAAAGATTAAATCAGATCATGTTATATAGGTTATGTTCTGTAGACCAAATCATAATTTAAAATTAATATACTTTTTTTTCTTTTTCCTCATTATTGGTCAATTTACATACATAAAATTAAAGTTACGTTTATCACAAAAGTTATCATCTTGCCAAAATTTCATCCCTTATGAGTAAACAGCATACAGTCGTTTTACAAAGGGAATCGAGTGGTGGAGGGGAATCGTGGTCGTCGTGACGATCCATCCTCTCAAAGTTTATTAAGCTAATTAACGCGGTTGGACCACGAGGACAAAGGGAGGAAAATGGTTAGCATTTCAACTCGTGCACTCGTCAAAGAAAACAAGTTTCCATCTTGGAGTTTAGGCGTATTCGAAATCTCGATTTTTATTTAAAGGAATAATATTATTTTCTCGTTTATTCGAACCCTTTGTTCGAAGGACACAAAGGACTGGGCCAGGCATGGATACTCGGCCCAATGGTACACGATATCCGCGTATCAGTTCGAACACGTGTGCACCCTGTGAGATACGGTATCCATTGTCTATTAGCAACACGTGCACTTCCGGAACTGAGATTAGCGTGAGCCAGAAGGTAAGCAGATGATTAAAAAAATTTTTATGTGGAGTAGTTTTATATAGAAACCTCTTTTTTTTTTTTAATAATTTAATCAGCAGAAAGATAGTTTGATATCTTGAAATATTATTTATTATTGTTGTTATTATTGCTATTTTTTTCTAGTTGAGTTTTTTCTAGTTTTTTTTCTAGAGAGTTTTTTTCTAATTAAGGCAGAAGGGAAAAAAATAGTAAAATATCATTAATTTATATCAGAGACGAGAAGAAATTACGTAAATCTCTTTGAAGTTTTCATCGTGTAAAAAAATAAATTTGGATTTAGAATCTACGAGTTTGAAGTATTTTATCGTGATAAAATACGAAATTAAAAGAGAGATATTATAATTCTATACTAATGCAACGAATGTTCTTGCAGAACATGTGACTGAATTCACCAGACCGAGCTATTATTGTCCCAGGACACGTACACGAATGACAGAACTGAAATTAGCGTTATCAAAGCGCCCATATTGGGTGCACAGTGAACTCGTGAAACGTCCATTATGCGGATTGGTTCGCTAAATAAATGTTTCATCAGAATTATTAGGAATCTTCTATTGTTGATTTGCCAATATACAATCGACCTTAATAAATGGTACGTGTATTTATATTCGAATTTATTGATACAGATGAAACAAAGCAACAACGTTGTGAAATTAATATTATAGATATACCCTAACGATCCGTTAGAGAATTATACGTGATAAATTAAACTAAGCAATCACTAAATTTTAAATAAATTCACCTTTCTGTTATTCAAACGAATTTATTACTATTATACTTGGAAAATGTTTATTAATTTCCTAAAAAAAATAATAATTATGAATAAAATATCTTAAAATTTGTTCTAAACTAAATTTTTCCTTAATAATAAATTTTATCAACAGGATATTGATTCAAACAAATTCTCGAATGATTCAATCTATAATAAATAATATTTCCTACTTAATCTTGAAACAGAATGAAAAAGAAAATTTCTACATTCTCTTTACTTGCACTCTCTCTCGTTTGGATATAACGAATTGAAGAGGAAAAAGATTCTCATATTCTATTCATTACTCGGTACTACTACGGTGTCACTATTGCTCAAACGAAATGACAAACGATGCTCGTTAAATCGAAGGCAATCCCGTTTGTAGAGGTGGATTTCTGCTTACTCGAAAGTGCATCTCGAAGCACTTACGTAAGCAGTGACCTATTAACTTAAGATACGCGCGAATCGACGACGCTACAGAAATTATCGGCGGCGATGATTATCAAAGCGTCGAGTAGGCCCTACAACCGACCGATTTACCGAGTTAATTAAATGTGCTTTCCCTCGGTTACCTAGTTCGCGTGCAACCAACCACGCATCGTTAAATCGCGATCAAGCATAAAAATCGAATCACCTATCGAGCACAACCAATTTTCCTTCGATTTAACTCGAATGACCCATTGTTCGAGAGCAAAAGAAGACGTTATATCGAGAGGATGGATTTAGAACTAGTTTATTATTCTGAAAAAAATGTATTTTGAGAAAAATATTTATATATAAATAATTAAGAAATTGTGTTATCCCTATTGAAAAAATATATTTGCACTTTGTTCGTATTTCTAAAAATAAAAATTATTTTTAAAAATAAGAATATGCGTATGTTACCAGATAATTAATTAATAATCGTTATTCGTATAAATTTTTAATTTTTAAAATTTTTTTTAGGTTATTTTTCCCTCGAGATTAGAACGAAAAATTCACTTTTAGTGACGAGGTAAGGATGGTAAGAAAAAATAATATTCTAAAATAGTGAAACTTACCTTCGTGAATCGTGAGAACGTTCTAGGTTCACAGCTTCCGATCCGACGAGACGATCGACTTCCGTTCGCTATTCATCAGCTCTCGTTCCCTATATACGAGAAGACAATCTCTCACGAAGTTGTCGGGCCCGGGCCGTGAAAGTTTTAGGAACCGAGCCGGAAAACTGTTACTCGCGTAGACACTCACGCCTCGGTGGCTCTGAAAATAAAAGAATCAGAATCTGGTAAGCAACGTGGTGAAGCGATTAAACTCGTGAAATTTTCTCTCTATTTTTTTAAGTACAATCTCTATCTCGGAACAGAACGATTATAAAATTCATTGTTTTTCCTTGGAAATGAAATTTTAAATCGCGTATTTGGATTAAAGTTTCTTATTTTTTTTTTTTTTTATTTAAGGCGATAGAAAAAAAATAAGCGGTAATTATTAAGGTGATTAATTAAGATGATAGATAAAGGAACTATAAATTACGTTAAATATTGCGTGATAACTTAATTGGCGTGTTATTAAAGAAAATAAGGTGTTTCGAGGCTGGAACGCCTAAGTGAGTAGTATTGACCGATGCGTAGTCAGACATTCCACACAAGGATCTCTTTATAGAGAAAATTAAAAGCTATTATTGAATTTAATGTATTTGCGTTAATTTTAAAATTTTTATTCGTTTCTTTCTATCGCATAATCCATTAATTTAACAAAAAGACTACACTATTTTTCTTTTTCAATAATAAAATTCTACTTTATTTTCGTAATTTCGTACATTTAAAAAATGACTGAATATTAAACAAATTCTAAATTTTCCATTCCATAAAATTTTAAATATCTTGAAGAGAGTAAAAAAAAATTTTCGATCGAGAATTCGAAAGATATTAATTTGAAACTTGAAGGATATTAGAAAATTGGAATGTTTGAAGATTATAAAAATGAAAATCTGAAACTTAAAATATATTTGAAAATTTATAAAAAATTTGTGATTTCATGTGCACGATTCTTTCTCCAACATTCTCTCCGAAGCCAAAATAAGCCAAAATATTCTCTGGTTATTTATCGCCTTGTTGCTCCCTCTTAAATAATATAAAATAATATGAATATAACAATCACTTATACACATTTTATTTCGCGCTTCAAAGGCGGAACGTGGCTCGTGATAATTATAACAGAGGTGCGCATGCACATACACGGAAAAGCGAGACATTGCTCACACCATTCTTTTCGAAGAGGAGTGCGAGAAAAAGAACGAGGAAGTTGGAGGGGCGAATTGAAAAAAGGCAGAGAAGAAGGGATTCGATAATAAAGAAAAATCAAGAGGAAATCAAATTTGTCTCGTCGTTCGAGATATTCGCATATAATAGCCAACAAAGGATAAAGGAAAAGAGCCTCTAGTGAGATGAACGAAAAAGAAAAGGAGGGGAGGATGATAATAATTACAATCACGTTCGTTCTCGTGATCCTTGATAAGGAGGACAAAGAAGTGATAACAAATATGAGAGAAAACAACGATTCTATTATAATTCGGTGGACAACCTCATATATTTTTCCATTATTAAATTTACGAATTTATAAATTTTCTGAAATTAATTTTTTTTTTAATCAACCTTGTTAGAACAAATAATTAGAAGCAATTAAACGCACTATATGTTATATATGTTGCAAAGAAAACGTATGATGTGATAACGTTAAAAAAAGGAAATGTTTAGAATGAGGATATCATAAATATTCATATATGCAAATCGGTATAAAATTGGAATATGCGAGTGTTGGATATTTATTCCTATATTTGTTATAAATGGAATAATAATAAAATAATTAATATTGGCAAATTTGGAATAATGGGAATGAAATTACCGATGCAATTTTATCGACGCTTTTACGGCTCGCTTGAGGCGACTTTCTATTAAAATTTCTATGAAAACAAAGTATATTATAGTCAATAACTAGTAGAAGAAGTAAAATTGTTAACTTGAAAAAAAAGATTCTTCTCAATCCCCTGCATCCTCTGCATATTTATGGATATACGAATACATTTCATTTTATACAGTTGCAGAAATTACATAAGCCATCAAAAATTTCCACATCGTTGGATATATTTCCTTCGTTTCTTTCTTGTTCCTTCTTCTTTCATTATCCTCTTTCACCGCAAAGAATAATATATCTCTCTTGTTTATTATTTACCGTTTACTCGAAAAATAACGATAATGACGAGTTTAATTAAACTCTCCGCCCTTTGGTGGAAGAAAAAAATGAAGGGATTACCATTGAAGAAGCATTCAGAAATGTTTTCACGTAAACGAAACGAGTTTCTTAGATCCCCCTTCTGAATAAGACCCGGGGAGAAATGTAAAGGAATGGAATTGGAGCAAAGAGCAAACGATACGCAGGGGACAACATAAGCTGCAAACCTATACCCTTTGATTATTCATTATAACGTTATTGGTCGAGGAACTTTCTTAAAAGTTATAGCTTTTAAGAAAAGAAAAAAAGAAGAAATAATATATTTAGAATAAATAATTGAAATAAATTTAACAACAAGACAAACATCCGTTAATAACATATTGCATTATTCGTTACAGAAACAAAAGCATCTCACGAAAATTAATAATCGCAATAATTTCTAAAAACGTGATATAATGGAATCTCTTCATATTCTTCACATTTGTTTTAATAAGGAATCCAATATTCATTCCAAAAAAAAATCCACTAAAGCTTAAGTTTAATAAATGTTATTTTAATCGAGTCTCGATTCAAGACCGATCCTTTCTCCTTTCTCCTTCTTCGATTCTTATTTAAAAAAAAAAAAACGAAATTAATTCTATTTCATTTTTCAGGAACGAATTAACAAGTGAATACAGAATATTCGTAGCGTTACCGTTACGTTTCCCCGTAGTGGGATTCGTCGCGGCAAGGGATTACAGTTTTTATTCGAAACGACAAGAAGCGAGGAATCTGGAAAGGTTTAAACACGGGGCAAGGCTTCGAGCGACACCGGTGAACCGCTCAAAGACGGACGGAAACAGGAAGGTGGACATTGTGACTAAGCGTCAACGACAGTAGAAATACCGGTTACGCGGCTGACCGTGGAACATGCACGGATAAAATCCCTGCCGGCTTAACGACCCAGACGCGTTTCGCCATGCCACAGACCCAGCTTCAATTCCACCCCTCGAGTCTGTGTGGCCGACGAATAAGGCGGGAAAAACGTTTTTACGCGACGCTGAAAAACTCGCGCACTTCCCTCTTCCACTTTCTTCCGAGATTTTCCGTTGAAAGGAATAATCCTCACCTCTTC